TCAGGTGAGATTCAAAAAATGTTCAGACTGAATGATCCACATTGAGTTTTTGTTTCTTAATCGCTGCATGCCATGTCTTGCCTTGGGGCTTTGTATCCACTATTCTCCAAGCCTGCAACACTTGATAGCCTGCCATCCCTCCAGCACCCCACCCACTTACTCTCATGCTGCTAGGATTCATATTTCAGATCTTAGTTTACACTGGGTTTTCCCAGAGCGGGTGGCTCTTTATGTGCTTTTTGCACTTTGGATATGTACATCGTCATTCCACTTCTAATCCTTGGTTGGTTTGTCTGCCCATCTCGGCTCACAGCTTATCTGCATCCTCCCGTCCAGGTGTTCTTTGACTATTCCTCCAACTTGGCTTTGGCATACACAGTCTCTCCTAATCTGTCCCATGGACAACTTCTATTCCACGCCCTTCCGTTTATGGCCTCTCCTTTATTCATGCTCTTGGGCTCCTCTCTTTATTGCAATATTTCCAAAGCGTTTCCAGGATCCCTTCTAACTCTGAAATTACAGAAATCTAGATTTATATACTAACTCTGCATTTATTTGTATGTGATCTAGGAAAAATAACTTCTGGCCAGATCTGAACTACAGCAAAAGTCCCCAAAATGGACTGAATCAGAAGTCAACAAATGCTTTTTTAAACAGCCTGATAGTAAATGTTTTGGACTTTGCCGGGCTGGACGCCCATCTGAAGGTTCTGGGAAAGAGCATGTTTCCAGGCACGTTTAGGTTTGGTAGAGTTTAGTTCCTTGTGATACAGAATGGAGGTCTCCATTTCTTTGCTAGCATCAGTGGAAGCCGCCCTCAGCTCCAAGAGGCTGTGCCCCAGACCCTCCATTGTCAAAGCCAGCAGCTGTGCATCAAATCCTTGTGAGTCCAATCTTTCTTACTTCCTCTCCTGCCACCAACTGGATAAAACTGCTCATCTTCCTATCTTAAGGTCAAAGAATTGGTAACCTTAATTACATCCGCAAAATCTATTTTGTCATGTAATATAACAAAATCATAAGAGTAATATCCAGTATATTTATATTCCTGGATATTAGAACAGGAACTCTTCCAGACTTGGGGAAAAATATTCTTTTACAATTCTGCCTGCCACACTTACAGGGGGCTTTGTGCATTGGCCCTTGACTTCAGGCTGATTCCTTAGACCTACAGTTATTGGTCCGGCTCTGACAACACCTTCCTCTTCTTTCTGTGGCAGACATCTGCTTATTGACTACATCCTCACTAACCCTGGTGAAAGATATCCGCCTCCACCTCCCACCTGATACCCAGCATTCCCTTCAAGCCTCATTTACGAGAAGAACTGGAAAGTGACATGGGAACCTATTTCTGCTTTCACCCCACTCTCCAGGCGCTATATTCTAATCCTAGTGGTTTCTTAATTGTTTGTTTTATTTTTCCCCAAACCACCTCCCTGTTTTCCAGGATAAAGAAGAGTATCTCCCCTTCCATATCTCTCCCAGGTTCACTCTGAAACTCAGGGAAAATCTATGCCTTCTGGGACTTCTCAGCACTACTATGCCCCCTTTCTTTAAGGCTGGCCAATCCTCAAGGTCATCCCAGTTTACTTTTGGCTTCAAAAATGCTCAGAAAAATGAATCGTAACAAAAATGAGTTTTCCTTGAGATGAGTCAGATGAGACAATAGCAGAAACTCAAAAACAGAAAACCAGTCTAACCTGCTTTCCCACTCATGGTAACTTGGGCTCTGGACATCATTGCTCCTGGAAAGATAAATGGTGTCTGATAGGAGCCAAGGGGAATCCCTGCTTTCATGCCTGAACAGAAAGATATTTCCACAGAGGCTAAGGAACAGTGGGTAGGGTTTGGGTTTGGATTGTCTGGGGGTAAAACACTTGGCTCTACTGCAAATCAAGCCAGAAGACAGAAAGCCACGAAGATGAGAAAACCAAGTTAAAATCAGGCAGAGAAGAGAATTTTCAAGGCTGAACATTACCCCCAGGAAAAATGTTCCCAAGTCAATATATAAGAAGATTAATTGAAAGAGGATTCTATGATCAAATATGGGGAGGAGGAAATGGGTGGAAAAGAATTAAACAAGTTTCCTGACTGCAGAATGTTTCACTCTTTAAATATATAATGGGCATCCAGAATCTCCAAAGATGGGATACAGTAGGGTCAGTGAACATTTTCTGTAAAGGGCCAGAGAGTAAATATTTCAGGCTTTGCAGACCAAATGGCCTTTGTTGCAACTACTCAACCCTGCCATTGCATCACAAAAGCAGACACAAACAATATGTAAATGAAGAGGTGTAGCTGTGTTCCAATAAGATTTTCTTTACAAAAACAAGCAGGGGGCAGGACCTGGCCTTTAGGCCAGAATTTGACAATCTGCAGGGATAGTATACAAAACATTAAAAACATTTACTGGACCAGAGAATCTCTTATTCATTCATTCATTCATTATTTTTTTTTCTTTTGTATTCATTCTTTTCATATATATATATATATTTATAAAAATATTATATATATATAATTGCACTTTAGGTTCTGGGGTACATGTGCAGAACGTACAGGATTGTCATATAGGTACATACATGGCAATGTGGTTTGCTGCCACCATCCCCATCACCTATATCTGGCATTTCTATCCACGTTATGCTTCCCTAACTCCCAGCCACCCACTGTCCCTCCCCTAATCCCTACCAACAGACCCCAGTGTGTGATGCTCCCCTCCCTGTGTCCATGTGTTCTCATTGTTCAACACCTGCCTATGAGTAAGAACATGCAGTGTGTGATTTTCGGTTCTTGTGTCAGTTTGCTGAGACTGATGGTTTCCAGATTCATTCGTGTCCCTACAAAGGACACGAACTCGTAGTTTTTTTATGGCTACATAGTATTCCATGGTGTATATGTGCCACATTTTCCCTGTCCAGTCTATCATTGATGGGCATTTGGGTCGGTTCCAGGTCTTTGCTATTGTAAACAGTGCTGCAATGAACATTCGTGTGCATGTGTCCTTATAGTAGAACGATTTATAATCCTTTGGATATATATCCAGTAATGGGATTGCTGGGTCAAATGGAATTTCTATTCCTAGGTCCTTGAGGAAGCGCCACACTGTCTTCCACAATGGTTGAACTAATTTACACTCCCACCAACAGTGTAAAAGCGCTCCTATTTCTCCACATCCTCTCCAGCATCCGTTGTCTCCAGATAACTGGCATGAGATGGTATCTCAATGTGGTTTTGGTTTGCATTTCACTAATGACCAGTGATGATGAGCATTTTTTCATATGTTTCCTGGCCTCATAAACGTCTTCTTTTGAAAAGTGTTTGTTCATGTCCTTTGCCCACTTTTGAATGGCTTTGTTTGTTCATTTCTTGCAAATCTGTTTTAGTTCTTTGTAGATTCTGGATACTAGCCCTTTGTCAGATGGGTAGATTGCAAAATTTTTTTCCCATTCTGTTTCTCCACATCCTCTCCAGCATCAGTTGTCTCCTGACTTTTTAATGATGGCCATTCTAACTGACATGAGATGGTATCTCAATGTGGTTTTGATTTGCATTTCTCTAATGACCAGTGATGATGAGCATTTTTTCATGTTTCTTGGCCTCATATATGTCTTCTTTTGTAAAGTGTCTGTTCATATCCTTTGCCCACTTTTGAATGGGCTTGTTTATTTCCTGCAAATCTGTTTTAGTTTTTCGTAGATTCTGGATATTGGCCCTTTGTCAGATGGGTAGATTGCAAAAATTTCTTCCCATTCTGTTGGTAGCCAGTTCACTCTAATGATTGTTTCTTTTGCTGTGCAAAAGCTCTGGAGTTTAGTTAGATCCTATTTGTCTATTTTGGCTTTTGTTGCCAATGCTTTTGGTGTTTTTGTCATGAAGTACTTGCCTATGCCTATGTCCTGAATAATTTTGCCTAGGTTTTCTTTTAGGGATATGGTGTTAGGTCTTATGTTTACATATTTAATCTATTTGGAGTTAATTTTAGGGTAAGGTATCAGGAAAGGGTCCAGTTTCTGCTTTCTGCACATGGCTAGCCAGCTTTCCGAACACCATTTATTAAACAGGGAATCCTTTCTCCATTGCTTGCTTTTGTCAGGTTTGTCAAAGATCAGACAGTTGTAGACATGTGGCATTGCCTCCAAGGCCTCTGTTCTGTTCCATTGGTCGATATCTCTGTTTTGGTACCAGTACCATGCTGTTTTGATTACTGTAGCCTTGTAGTATTGACTGAAGTCAGGTAGCGTGATATCTCCAGTTCTGTTCTTTTCGATTGGAAGTCACTTGGCTATGCGAGCTCTTTTTTGGTTCCATATGTAGTTTAAGGTGGTTTTTTCCTGTTCTGTGAAGAGGGTCATAGGTAGCTTGATGGGGATAGCATTGAATCTATAAATTACTTTGGGCAGTATGGCCATTTTCATAATATTGATTCTTCCTAACCATGAGCATGGAATGTTTTCCCATCTGTTTGTGTCCTCTCTTATTTCCTGGAGCAGTGGTGTGTAGTTCTCCTTGAAAAGGTCCTTTACATCCTTTGTTAGTTGTATTCCTAGGTATTTTATTCTCTTTGTAGCAATTGTGAATGGCAGTTTGTTCTTGGTTTGGCTCTGTTTAAGTTTGTTATTGCTGTATAGGAGTGCTTGTGATTTTTGCACATTGATTTTGTATCCTGAGACTTTGGTGAAGTTGCTTATCAGTTTCAGGAGATTTTGGGATGAAACGACGAGGTCTTCTAAATATATAATCATGTCAACTGCAAATAGAGACAATTTGACTTCCTCCTTTCCTAGTTGAATACCCTTTATTTCTTTTTCTTGACTAATTGCTCTGGCTAGAACTTCCAATACTCAGCTAGTGCTCGACTTACGACCACGATTGCGACTGGCAGACCGGTCACAACACGATTTGGTCGTAAGTTGAGTAGGCTATATGTACAGTTGAAATGGTGCACACGGAGATGGTAGTGCTGCTGGAAGCTGGTCCGCCTGTCGTATGCCCAGCTTGGCAATGTATGCGCTGCCAAACGCGGAGCAGTCATGCCTAGCGATTGTGGTTGTAAAGTCGAATGGTCGTAAGTTGCATAGGTTGTAAGTCGATCAATACCTGTATTGAACAGGAGTGGTAAGAGAGGGAATCCTTGTCTAGTGCCAGATTTCAAAGGGAATGCTTCCAGGTTTTGCCCATTCAGCATGATATTGGCTGTGGGTTTGTCGTAAATAGCTTTCATTATTTTGAGATAAGTTCCATCGATACCTAGTTTATTGAGAGTTTTTAGCATAAATGGCTGTTGAATTCTGTCAAAGGCCTTCTCTGAAACTACTGAAATAATCATTTATTTTTTTTGTCTTTGATTGTGTTTATGTGGTGAATTACGTTTATAGACTTGTGTATGTTGAACCAGTTTGCATCCCTAGGATGAAGCCTACTTGATCGTGATGGATAGAAGCTTTTTCATGTGCTATTGCAATTGGTTTACTAGTATTTTATTGAAGATTTTTGTATCTATGTTCATCATAGATATTGGCCTGAGGTTTCCTTTTCATGTTGAGTCTCTGTCGGGTTTTGGTGTCAGGATGATGTTAGTCTCATAAAAGGATTTGGGAAGTATTCCCTCTTTTTGAATTGTTCAGAATAGCCTCAGAAGGAGTGGTACCAGCTACTCTTTGTATGTCTGGTAGAATTCACATGGGAATCTATCTGGACCTGGGCTTTTTTTGATTGGTAGGCTATTAATTGCTGCCTCAACTTCAGCCCTTCTTATTGGTCTATTCAGGGTTTTGACTTCTTCCTGGTTTAGGATTGGGAGGGTGCAAGTGATTTCTTCCAGGTTTACTAGTTTATGTGTATAGAGTTGTTTGTAGTAATCTCTGATTGTAGTTTGTATTTCTGTTGAATCAGCGGTGATATCCCCTTTACTGTTTTTATTGTATCTATTTGATTCTTCTCTCTTTTTTATTAATCTGGCTAGTGGTCTATTTTGTTGATCTTTTCAAAAAACCAGCTGCTGGATTAATTTTTTGAAGGATTTTTTGTGTCTTTATTTCCTTCAGCTCTGCTCTGATCTTAGTTATTTCTTATCTTCTGCTAGCCTTTGAGTTTTTTTGATCTTGCTCCTTTAGCTCTTTCAATTTTGATAATAGGGTGTCGATTTTAGAATTTTCCTTGCTTCTCATGTGAGCATTTATTGCTATAAATTTTCCTTAGACACTGCTTTAAATGTGTCCCAGAGATTCTGGTACATTGTGGCTTCATTCTTGTTGGTTTCGAAGAACATCTTTATTTCTGCCTTCATTTCATTGTTTATCCAGTCAACATTCAAGAACCAGTTGTTCAGTTTCCATTAAGTTGTCCAGTTCTGAGTTAGTTTCTTAATCCTGAGTACTAATTTGATTACACTGTGGTCTGAGAGACTGTTTGTTATGATTTCCATTCTTTTGTATTTGCTGAGGAGTAATTTACTTCCAATTATGTGGTCAATTTTAGAGTAGGTGTGATGTGGTGCTCAGACGAATGTATATTCTGTGGATTTGGAATGGAGAGTTCTGTAAATGTCTGCTAGGTTTGCTTGGTCCAGATCTGAGTTCAAGTTCTGGATATCCTTGTTAATTTTCTAACTCGTTGATCTGTCTAATATTGACAGTGGACTGTTAAAGTCTCCCACTGTTTTTATGTGGCAGTCTAAGTCTCTTTGTAGGTCATTAAGAACTTGCTTTATGTAACTGGATGCTCCTGTATTGTGTGTGTATATATTTAGGATCCTTAGCTCTTCTTGTTGCAGTGATCCTTTTACCATTATGTGATGCCCTTCTTTGTCTCTTTTGATCTTTGTTGGTTTAAAGTCTATTTTATCAGAAACTAGGATTGCAACTTCTGCTTTTTTTTTTTTTTTTTGCTCTCCTTGGCTTGGTAAATCTTCCTCCATCCCTTTATTTTGAGCCTATGTATGTCCTTGCATGTGAGATTGGTTTCCTGGATGCAGCATACCGATGGGTTTTCACTTTCTAATTTGCCAGTCTGTGTTTTTTGATTGGATCATTTACCCCATTTACATTTAAGGTTAATATTGTTATGTGTGAATTTGATCCTGCCATTTTGATGCTAGCTGGCTGTTTTGCCCATGAGTTGATGCAGTTTCTTCATTGTGTTGATGCTCTTTGCCATTTGGTACGTTTTTGGAGTGGCTGGTACTGGTTGTTCCTTTCTGTTTAGTGCTTCTTTCAGGAGCTCTTGTAAGGCAGGCCTGGTAGTGATGAAATCTCTCAGCAATTGCTTGTCCATAAAGGAGCTGGACTGTCCCAGGTCCATCAGTGCTTGCTGTGAAACTCTCAATCCAGAGCATTTCAGATTGCTAGTTTTTGCGGGGGTACAACCCACTGAGCCAGATCACCTGGCTCCCTGTTTCAGCCCCCTTGTTTTTTCAGCTGAATGGCAACTCTGTCTCCCAGGCATTCCAGGCACCAACTGAAATGCTGCCCATTTCATATATATGAGTTTTTGTGCAGCCACCCCCTGCGCCACCTGAAACAGCCATACTGGAGACTTGTGGTGCTTTTCTGCCCGGGAATCTCCTGGTCTGTGAGCAGTAAAAACTCGTTTGGAAATGCGTCCTCGCTGGGAACTGCACTCCTATTCGGCCGTAGTGGATCGTCTCCTGTTATTTTTATGGGACAAAATTAAGAGTCTTAGCAGCAAAGCATGACTCTGGTTGACTATTGTTTCATGATGTCTATAAGAGAACTCAGAATACAGAAGACTCTCAAACAAAATTTGTTGAATAGAACACACGGAATTAAACAGTAAAATAAAACAATCTTTCCAGGAGAATGAAATACACTGATGATAGTTGATATATTTGAAACAATGTTTCAGAACAAGAAGCCACTATGTTTTAGAATAAAAGAAAAAGGAGAGAAGAAGACAACTCAATGAGGAGAAGGAAGAGAAGGCACAAAACAAGGAAAAAAGTAGTATATTAAGAAGAAGGAGAGAAAAACGAAGAAATGGAGGATCAAAAGATGAGTTTCCACCCACAAGAAAATGGGTTTCTCTGCCCGACTGTGTATGAGAGCATTGGTGTCCTGAAAGGGAAAACCTTTAATGAGGTGCTAAAAAACCCTTCTTGGCATTAATTAACAAGATCACTAGGCTGCCATAATTGCAGAAAGATAAATCATCAAGAGATATTTCTTAACGGAAATGCAGGTCATTACAAAATATTATTTAAAGTCACATTTACATATAAAAGAATCAAATGGATGTTGTCCCACGTGGCACCCACGTCCCCTCCCCTCTCCATTGTGCTCCATGCACACAAATCAGCACACAACTCCAGGTAAGCCAAGGGCCTTGAAATCTTTACAGAGCATCCTCCCAGAGGGGCTTGATGGATGCAGAGATGTGAGAACCGAAGGAAACCTCTGCGGGCAAAATCTCAGGACTGAAACACAATGTCCCCACCTGATTAACCACCACTTATGTTACTAAATGCCTGAATCCCTCACTTAACTGGGGTCTCTGTGAGACCACTGGCCTTGTTCTTTTTTTTTTTTTTTTTTTTTCCTACATTGTGTTCTTAATGCTCATCCTGTACTAGGACACTCAATACATGTATATTAAAAGCATTCATCAATTCTTCAGGACTCAGCTAAAAGCTGCCTCCTTTCAGAAGGTTTCCCCTATTTCCCAGTCTCGATGTAAGATCTATATCCTGAGACGGTATGGCACCCTATGCTCTCTTGCATGGTAGGACTTAGAGAAGCAAACAGCAATAATTACAATAGCAAAGATATGAAGCAACCTAAGTGCCCATCAATGAATGAATGAATAAAGAAAATGGTACATATACACTATGACATATTATTTAGCCATAAAAAAGGATGAAATCTTGTCATTTTGCAGCAACATGGATGGAACTGGAGGTCATTTTGTTAAGTGAAATAAGCCAGGGAAGGAAGGACAAATATCACATATTCTCACTCTTATATGGGAGCTTAAAAAATGGCATAGAGGTAGCGAGTAGAATGGTGATTATCAGAAACTGGGAAGGAAGAGGATGACGAGAAGTTGGTTAAAGAATACAAAAAGGCCAGGCATGGTGGCTCATGCCTGTAATCTCAGCAATTTGAGAGGCCGAGGTTGGTGGATCATGAGGTCAAGAGATCAAGACCATCCTGGCCAACATGGTGAAACCCCGTATCTACTAAAAATACCAAAAAAAATTAGCTGGGTGCAGTGGCACACGCCTGCAGTCCCAGCTCCTTGGGAGACTGATGCAGGAGAATTGCTTGAACCAGGGAGGAGGAGGTTGCAGTGAGCTAAGGTCATGCCACTACACTCCAGCCTGGTGCCTGCTGACAGAGTGAGACTCTGGATATCCCAATTACCTTGATTTGATCATTGTGCATTGTATACAGGTATCAAAATATTATCACATATATTCCCAAAAATATATACAACTATTATACAACAATAAAAGTAAATAAAAATAAGTCATGCTGCTACTACATATCTTTGAAGTGAATGGATGTTATAGAAATGACTACATCTGTGTTCTTCCTTCCAAAACCCACAGCCCCAGTCCAATCATGAGAAAAACACAGGCCGAAAGCCCAGTCGAGGGCCATTCTATAAATTAAATGACCATTACTCCTTAATGTCAATGTTATCAAAAACAAAGAAAGTCAGAGAAGCTGTCACAGCCAAGAGGAGCCAAAGGAGACAAAATGACTAAATGTAATGTGGGATCCTGGGTGGGAAAGGGAGACTAAGAACTAAGAAAATCCAAGGAAAGTAGAGAGATCAGTGAATCATCATGTATTAATATTGATTCATCAATGGTGACAAACAGCTACATTAATGCAAAGTGTCAAAAACGGGAAATGGGTGCGAGGTACGGACACTTCATCTGTACTTTCCTTGCAACTTTTTCACAAATCTAAAATGACTGTAAAATAAAATGTTTAAGAAAACAAAATTTTGAACAAATAATAACAAAAAACAAGGCCCCCCATGAAAGCCCTGGGGAGGGCTGCCATTGTTTACAGTGAGAAAGGCATCCCTGGGAGTTAAGCA